AAAAAAAAAAGGGTCGTGGCATGAGGAAGGTTGAGAACCACTGCCCTAGAGGGACCAGCAATTCTGCTTCTTTGCTTTCCAGGTGAACTAGGACCTGCCCTACTTATGCCCTCTTTATGACATGTTCTTTATGACATGTTCTCCCCAGTTGCTTGAATGGAGGTCACACTATTGTCGGGGTGCAAGCATGCAGCCAGCAGAGATATGATTAACAGACACTCTGCCTGGATGACGTATTTCGGCCTAATCTGCTCCATAGGGGAATCATCTGCTCAGTCAATTGTACACTTGTAGGGATAGGTTATTTGCACGTCCGGTCGAACTGGTGCTGCGCTGCTGAGGACTGCTGACATGCATTGCCCCGTCTGTTCTCTTTCTGCAGCTCCGAAAGGTGGGCAGGATGAATGATTGGTGAAGGATTCCTCTTTTTAACAGCAGGGATATTAGGAAGCAGACTTCTATCTTCTTTCTTTGATACATGGCATTGGACTACATAGGGCAGGCCGTTTGGAAAGTCAGCTCTGGGTGGTTCTGCTGGGCACAGAAATAACGGAGGCGGAGGGAATCCCAAGGAAAACCAGAGAGGCCATTCTATCTACTGATTGGAAAGATTCTGTGCTTAACCTTCAGCCGAGAGGCCAGCGTCAACAACTCCCCCATCTGAAAGAGCTTGCTCCCACCCACAATGGAGAACCCCCCGCAGCTCATTGGTTTGAAACATGAATAATTCAGGGGCCGCGTGAAAGCTGTACCCCAGGAGCGGGGGATGCTGGTGGCATCGTATCAAAGCGCAGTCACATTTTGCTGTGGCACCTTACAATTCTATTACCTTCTGCCCGAGGACAAGGCTCTTAGAAGACAGAATGGTGAATCCATCCCCTGGGCCGTCTTCTGAGGTGGAATTCGAAGTTCCTTCTTTATCGCTGTCCTTTGCTTTGGACTGTTGGTAGAAATCAGAGACAGATGGGAAGAATCCCCCAGAAGCCCTCAGTGGGCTTATGGAGCACCTCCCATGGCCGCTATAAGTTGGGGACAGAATGAAGAAGCCAGGCATTATGTCCTACTATATCTCCACTGAGAGCAGCGAAGGACTCACTTGGAAATGGCAAGAATGCTGTAAGAAATAAAGTGTGTTAACCCCCTGTGGGTTTCTGTGACTGTGTTCACGGGAGTAGGAAACCCAGTGTTTGTCCTGCGAGTGGCTGGTGGTTTCTGACTGCCGACCATTCAGATCGCAGCCCAATACATAACCGCTAGCCACCAGGGCTTCTACAGAGACATAGAAATTAGGGTTGGAGCTGATGGTGGCAGCGATCGTACAATGGTGCTTGATCTAATTGAATTATGGACTGTTATATGATCTGGAAGAGCTCCCAATAAAAGGAATAATTAAAAAATTATTTAAAATAATTAAAAAATAATTAAAAAATTAGGGTTCCAGGTGATCCTCTCTCATCTTAAGATTTTGGTGGGGGGTGGGGAGGGGACCTGGAACCACAAACCCTCCCCCTCCCCTTGCCCCAAGCCTTGAGTTTGGACACTTCTCGTGGCCCCTGTTGGATGATGTGAGCTCTTGTCTCAAAGCTCTATGTTTCTACTCACACATTCTCATCAGATCCTCCCCATCAAGGTGCTGGCTTCTCAGCCCTTCAGAGAAGCTGGCGCTGCCATCATCTTTCTGCCCTTGAACCTTCATCTTGCTCTGTGTGTGTGTGTGTGT